TGCTCTTCTACTTAACTTAATGACAAATCAATCTTACGCTCAGGTTACTGTAGCATGCAATACAGTAGAATCACCAAGTCTACATCAAAGGCCGTTTTTAAACAACTTTCATGCAGCGAAGGACAAAATGCTTGAAAACTTCTGTCAGCCAGTCAAAATTGATCAATCATAATTTTGAGGGAAATAAGCAGGGAATCGTTCGGATATACTAAACAATCCACCTAATAACAAAGAGGGAAGATTGTTAAGTAGATTAAAACAATCGAATTTTCGAGCAATCAGAATGCAGCACAAAATTAGAATTAGCAACGCTCTCTGTGCTAACTTACTGGAGAGCAGGGAGAGGGAGAGAGAGAGAGAGAGAGAGAGAGAGAGAGATTGAGAGATTGAGAGATTGCTTAAGTAGATACTATTGGGGGGGGGGGGGGGGGTTGTTAAGTAGATCATTGTAGTACAGTTACAGGAAAATGATCAATTGAGAAATTTTTCGCATTCGGTTTATGAAAACAGCACCAAGAATTGCATTATCTAAATCTTTAGCTTGGTTGTCTAGGTCGTTCGTTCTAGTATGCCAGATCGTTAGTTCCATTTTTGGCACCAATCTGGTGGCTTTTGTTTTGAGGTTAAATGCTACTTTTTTTTTCTGTTAAATGATTTTTGAAATTAATTATCCTTTTTTTATTTCAATTGCCAAGCTACAAATACTAGGATTGCCCAGCTGCAGATAAGGAAAGGAACCATTGATTTTGAAAGTTGCTTAAAAATTTAAGCAAATTTGCTTTTCGGCGGAATCAACACCTTGCTAAAGCATTTTTCATACCACGCTGATGTTCATCTCTGAGTCCTAATTTCTGAGCAGCATTTATTTGCTGCCTTAATTACCCGTTAAATTAGTTCTTCGAAAAAGCCTGTATCAGTTATCACAAATTGGCCCCCATAACTTTACCAATTGATCATATAAAACATGTATCTCTTATTTCTCAAGGCATCAATCGTAACTTCATGTTCGGCATATTTCATAATGTATGGCATACTTCGTCAACAATTGATGGTCTAAATTTGTTAAATTTTTAATTTGAAACAAAATGACACCCGAACACAAACGTTTCGTCACTTTCTTCGAAATCTCGGAACATTAATCTAAGTGATGCTAAGATTCAGCTACTCCAATGCTATCTTCAGTTTATTTTGAAGCATTGAACTAAGTTGAAAAACAAAAAATCTGATATGAAATCTGACGAATGTTAAAAAACCAGCAAGTTTTGTCTCATTTTGTTATTTACTTGCAGTTTTAGTAATACTCAAAAATTCCAAACTTTCAGTGCTCGAAATCGAATTGGTAGGTGTTGAAAGTGATTTGATTATTTTCAAGAATTTCAAAAATGTCTTGATATTAATATATATCAGCAGAAAGAATTTTTTGGATTTCTTTGCATTTGTCAGACTATTTTTTTCTTGTTTACTATCATATGTAATTTAAGTTATGTCGCATACCTCAGAACTCAAAATTCAGAACAACTTGTTTTGAACTTGGTATTATAAGTTATCCTTTACAGCGATTATTATTGAACAAGTTTTTAATTTTTGTCGAACCATGAATTTGAATTTAGAACAATTAACGTGCAGCATAGGAAATTTGGTCAAACTAGGCGGCTACTGGGAGTAGTTTATGAGTACTACGAAAACTGTTTTGAGACGATTTCTATTAATTTTATTTGTGGGGTAAAATCTGCAATACTACAAAGTGTGAACCAATCATGCAAATTAAAGAACGAAATGCAATTTAAAATGTTCTTTCGATTTATAAACGATTTATTGAAATTCTAATTCTCCGCCTTTTTTGCTGTATGAAATGACAACATTGAGAATTTTAGTCACCGTTTTTTTTTCTTCAAATTTTGGCACTTTTACTCTCTTTTAATCTTGAATCCTTCAAATATCAGATTGGGTTAGTTTTAGGTGAAAATTTTGATGTGAAAACTTGCTACAATTTTCAGCAGATTCATTATGGTGTAATTTGTTTTGGAAAATTCGGGCACAATATTTAACCAAAAAAAGTATCCTTTTTGGCCTTTTTTGGTCAATCAAAATTTATGGCGAAAATATTGGTTCAATTCTTGACAATTGGTTCAATTCCTGACTATATCAAATAGAGTTTTTATATAGCACAACAAAAATTAAGAAAAGTCTAAACTGCAATAATTGGCGCAAAACTTTTTTGAACACTTTTTAAATTATATTGAAAAAGGACTTGTTTACCATCATATATTGTTAAATTATGTGTTTTATATTGTTAAATTATGTATTTTATATTGTAAAAAGGATATTGTTAAATAAAACTAAAAAATTTAGACAATTCTTTCGAGATTACACCTTCTTGTACTATTTTGGTAGAGTTTTGTCAGGAATTGAACTAAATCTTTTGTCATAATTATCATTTACCAAAAAATTGTTCTTTTTTTTGGAGCAAACATTTGCGCGCGAAGTTTGGAAAACAAATTACACCACATTGAATTTGATAAAAGTCTAATCAAGTTTTGTCTTTTTTTTTTCACCTAAACTCCGGCCAAGTTGAGAGAAATGCGTTTTAGTTTTCATTTTGTAGTTTTTTTACTGTTCTGGCAGAGTTTTGTCAGGAATTGAACTAATGCTTTCGTTATAGTTTTCAGTTACCAAAATAACCAAAAAAAATTTTTGGAGCAAAAAATTGTGCGCGAAGTTTTGAAAACAAATTACACCACATTGAATTTGATAAAAGTCTTATCAAGTTTTGTCTTTTTTGTTTTCTCCTAAACTCCAGCCAAGTTGAGAGAAAAGCGTTTTAATTTTCAATTTTATGCTTTTTGTCCGGATATTTTAATCAGCACTGTTGCTTGAATGCATCTCGATTGCTTGCAATGTTTACTTTAACAATTTCCATCGCTTTTTTTGTCAAGTCATCCTAGCTAGAAGTTTCATAAACGCGTTTTCAGCAACACTGTATAGCAGCTGTTGTTATAACCTAATGAGTTTGCAAATCACTTAATTGACCGGAAATGAAGAAATCTTTTATGGTTAAAATTTGTGGCGGTCCATGGGGTGGCAAGTGACGCAAATCTCTTTTTCTACTTGCAATTTATGTTTTAGAGTCTCTCAGAATCAACCCAAATTTTTTTAATGAAGGAAATCAGTTTTAAAACTTGACTTTTGACTGTTTTCCTCGAACTTTCAATTTTGAAACATTGCTTTAACGTTTTCATAATGCAGTGAACTTGGCGTGAGCAAACTAGCAATTGTAAACCGAGTTGTTTTCCGTATTTCACGTAGTAACATCAAGAGTTCAGCCATAATTACAGAAAACCATATATTTAAAAAGAAAATTTGAAAAAGGGAGTGGAAAAGAACATGTTTGTAAAAAAACTCCGGATCTCTTTAATTATTCCCCCTTTTGCAAAAAAAGGGTTTTTCTAGGTACAAATTTGTCAAATGGTTAACCCTTGAAATATTCAAATATAGATGGGGAGTGAGAATTGTTACTAGGTACCATAGGGGGGAATAGTTAAGTAGAACCACTTTTTGTATAAATTGATGTTGTTTACTAAAACTGCTGCGGTTACTGAATGGATTTGGATACCTGAGTCAAAAACTCCGCTACTATTTGTTCGACTTTTCGGTCGTGGAAATTTTAGCTCTGCGATTAGAAATCCATAGTCTGGACAAGGTTTTAGGTCGCGGCGGTCGAAAAATTATTCGCAGCATGGTCAAAAGTTAGTCGCGGTGGACGAAAAATTAGTTGCAGCAGTAGAAAAAAATTAGAAGTGGCATGGTAAAAAACTAGTCAAAGCGGTAAAAAAATTAGTCGCGGCCTGGTCGAAAATATAGTCAAGCGTGGGCGAAAAATTAGTCTCGGCCTGGTCAAAAATATAGTCGAGCATGATCGAAAAAATAGTCGCCAAAAAATTAAAGAACAGTCTTAAAAAAAATGACAATCAGCAAGCGTTTACTTGAAAACGACGATTATTTTTGTTTATTTTAATTTTATTGGGTTTTTGAAAAACAAATGCAAACAGAAACAAACCCAGTATCTATATATTTTTAATGTGCAGCTAGCTAGACCAGCATAATTGTTGATCATATACAGGACCACCACAAGAAAGCCTACACAGGTCCGAATATCAACATTAAGCAATTTTGGGATTACGAATTTTATGGGGGTAGGAAACAATCTAATTAAATAAGGAAATCAATTTGAAAAAGAAACAGTCATCCAGTAAAGAAAAAACAGCTAGCACAACCATCTAACCACTATTTGGTTGATTTTAACTTGTGAAAAATTTGGAAAATCGAACAATCCTCGATTTCTTTTCCAAAATGTTGTCTAAAAACTTACGGCAAGAAGCGTTTCGATTTTAAAACCCAAAGACTAAATTCCTCTGTTTTAGTTATGTAATCAGTTCACACACCCCCCCCCCCCCCCCGCTCAACTATTGTTGCCAAATTTTCCCAAATGGTCCTTCTTTCGGTATAATGTTGGGACATCCACTTTTGGCTGATCAACGTCAAAAATTTCTAAAAGCCCTTCTGTTGCCAAAATAACTAAGTTTGAAGGAATGGGCGCCGAAAAAAACTTTGGTCAGTTTTTATGAAAAATGCTCAAAAACGTCGTTTTTAGCCAGTTTTTTTTTTCAAAAGACTGATTGTGGCGCAGAAAATTTGCGACAAAATAGGATCCTTATAGTATTTTAGGCGAGCTCGGAACACATGAAATTGGTTGACCCAAAAAAGCCAAAAAAGTTTTTCAGCAACCGGCTCCTTGAAAAGTTTTTGCGCACACATACACATATACAAAAATAACATAAAAACATATCTCCTTACATACATACTTACATACATACATGCATGCATAAATACACAATCTTATCCTTTTTTGGATAAAAGCTGTTGCGCGAAATTTGCAAAATAAATAAAACCATATTGGATTTCATAAAAAAATTAAACAAGCTTTATGTCTGTTGTTTTCCACCTAAACACAAGCCAACTTGAAAAAAAAAACGTTTTAATTTTCCGTTTTAATTTTCCGGCACTCTGTTTTAAGTCTTTTCCTTCAGTCGAGCGCAGAAAATTTTAGTTCAGAAATTAGTTTTAAATTGCTTATTCGTATAAACGCCAGTATGCAATTTGTTTTTAACCGGTAACCGGCGTATACGCAAACACCTTTTTGAAAAAAAACATGCTTAGACAAATATTCAAACTCAACTAAACAACCAACGCTCTGCTAATCTTTACATTTTACACTTATGGTATCTTTTTCGTTTCTTTGTTGTGGTAATTTGACGTTAATTTTAAGAATTTTTTAGTCGCTTCTATTAAATATTGCCATGTTTTTCAAATTATTGTAATCGAACTCAAGAACGTCTTTTTCGATATCAAAACCAATTATAACCAATTATTTCATGATTAATTATTGTGCTAAGCAACGAGGGCATACGCCACCTATATATCAGGTAAGTAACGGTTATTTTTTTTTGTGCATTTTAACTTTATCATCTGGGGCGGATCTGGAGTTTTTACGAAAGGGGCTAAATTTCAAAAAAAGTGCATCTCTTTTTTGTAGGACTACCAAACTTGAAGCTTTGGGCTCGCCGAAAACATCAACTCTGTGTATTTAGTCTTATGCTTTTTGCACGTCTGGAACTTTTTTGTAAATAAGTGCAGAGGCTTGGGCACTTTTGGAAAGTTTTGACCAAAAATGTGCGTTTTCCTCGCGCGCACTCCTCCCTCAATATTACTACATATTGGCACCAAAGCTACCTCCCCGAAGTTTTAACCAGAAAATAAGTTCAGCCACCTAGCGTATACTACCTTTAAGCACCTTCAAAAAACCCTAGGACCATTCCGTCAAAAGTGTATGTCGTAACCCCCCTTAATTTCCTTACTAAGTGCCAAAATTGCTGTTTGTAGTATCTTTTTGGAAAATTTGCACCGAAAAATGTCCCCCCCCCTAAAACTCAGTTCATATTGCGTTTGAGCACCTTCAAAAAACTGTGAGATCAGTCCGCCGAAAATGTATGTAAATTAGAACCAAAACCAAAAATGTCATTTGGGTCGAAGACCTGAAGAGATAGATAGGCTCCCATCTGTTCCCTATATCTGCCCCTGGTTTTCACTCGTTCAAGTTTTTGTTCTGAGCAATCTAACTTTTAGAAATCCTTATTTGGATATATCATAGTTGAGATTCGTATTTTTACCGTCAAGATGCTGCAATACGCAAGTTGTGTAGACATAAGTCCAATAAAAAAGAAAAAACAATTTTAAATATAAATTAAATTTTCAAATAAACTAGACTTCTTTTTCTTTTATTCTGACTGCGAGCAAAGCCTTGAATGTTCCGACTGCCCCTTACCTCATATCGAAAAAGATTTTGCGAAAAAATTGGACAAAGTTGACAATCAAGTGTAAAAATTTGGGTCTTACGAAGTGATACGATCAATTAGCAAGCTTCAACTTGAAACGAGTTTGTTCTGCGAGATATTTTGCTATGCATAATTAAAAATTTTCTGCCGAAAATGTATGTAAACTAGAACCAAAACCAAAAATGCCATTTGGGTTGAAGACCTTAATAGATATATAGGCTCCCATCTGTTCCCTAAATCTGCCCCTGATTATCACTCGTTCGAGTTTTTGTTCTGAGCAATCTAACTTTTAGAAATCCTTATTTGGATATGTCATAGTTGAGATTCGTATTTTTACCGTCAAGATGCTGCAATACGCAAGTTGTGTACACATAAGTCCAATAAAAAAGAAAAAACCATTTTAAATATAAATTTGATTTTCAAATAAACTAGACTTCTCTTTCTTATATTCAGACTGCGAGCAAAGCCTTGAATGTTCCGACTGCCCCTTACCTCATATCGAAAAAAATTTTGGAAAAAAAATGGAGAAAATTGAAGATCAAGTGTAAAAATTTGGGTCTTACGAAGTGATACGATCAATTAGCAAGCTTCAATTTGAAACGAGTTTGTTCTGCGAGATATTTTGCTATGCATAATTAAAAATTTGCAGCATTGTGTTACATTTTCAACTTTATGAATAAATATTTCAAAGCTCGCGTAAAATAGTCCAGAACTTGGCCAAATTCGCAATTTTCAAACTCCCATAACTTTGCAAAAAACAATCGGAGGTAAAATATTTTTTTAAACTTGATTTCAGGAAATTGATATCTTCAAAGCGGTTTAAAATTTTTTGTTAAAAAGTGTTTTTTTTATTACCGAAAACTATTTGAATAAAAAAACCACTCAAGCATGAATTTTCTGTTTTCTTAGAAAGTTGGAACAAAAAACTACCCCAAGCGTAATTAACCAGTTTATCAATTTTCTTCAAAAATCGGAACAAATAAAAATTCATAGGTATTTCGTGGCGTTTATTTTGATATCAAACAAAGATATACCAAGTGCTGATTTGCTTGTTGATTGGTTTTTTGAAGAAAAAGACGGAATATTTGTGCTCGGGATGGTTTTTTTCTCCAGACAAGTTTCGATTTTTAGACTAGCAATTTTTGACGGAACTTTGGCTTTTTCCTACCCCCCCCCCCCAGCGAAAATTCAGTAGTAATTTATTTGTTCTCATTGACCGATTCTTACAACTTTTGGCATGCGGACTAATTAGGCTATGACAAACATATTTGGTTTTCACATGTAACCTTGTGAAACCTATCGTTACGCCAGAAAACTGATGGTTATGTGAGGTGGAGGGAGGAAAAAAAGCCAGAATTACTTTGATGTAATTCAAAAGTAACTATTGTCTTGAGCTCAGTTTAGAAAAAAATATATTTCACTCTGATCATTTTTTGGTTAACTCATGGGGGGTTTGGGACAAATAACGCGCGATATATATTTCGTGCTATTAAATTAACGCGTAAGCTGAGATTTTATTTATATAACTAATCGTTCCAAATTGGATTGAGGCATGCTATTTGGTCTATTTAATACTTTGCTATATGCAAAATATATCACTTGAACAAGTAACGTGCCGAGGGGGGGGGGGGGGGGGGGGTTGTGGACCGCTCCTGTCCTCGCTTCTTGTTTCCAAATTTTTCCAAAGGTTCACCCCCCTTGGTGTTGGTATCATTTTACGACATCCATTTTTGGCTGAGCAACACCAAAAGTTTTCTAAAGGCGCCTTTGACGCCAATATAACTAATTTTGAGGGGGAGCGCCCTCCTCCCGCAATAAAGATTTCAACAATCAAATGTATTTAAATAACTCCATAGAAACTGAAACGCAGACGGAACATTCAGGGCTTCATCTTGATACGAGCAGTCTTCTATTTTCTACTTTTTTGTTCGTTTTATCACATAAAAATTTTTTAGCCGTGTAAACTAAAAAAAGGTGTGAAAATGGATTTGGATGAAGACGATCGTGGATACACGCCAAACCCCTTGCGTTCTCCAACTCCCGTCTTTTCTGGAAAAGATTTACCCCTAACCGAAAGCTCAATTCACTCTAACAGTCTGAATCGAGCCGAGAATGGAGGAACCAATAAGGAAAACGATCCAGAAGACACTGAAATTTTACCCCACGTCAAAGAATCCGCGGCACGACTACGCGATGCTACGGCTCCTCAAACTGCGAGCGATCGTTATATAATCCGAGTACTGTGGATCATTGCCTATGTGGTGCTTTTCGGCATTTTTCTACTACAATTCTCTCTGCTGGTTAAAAAGTATCTGAAGTTCGATACTGATATTCAGATTGAAATTCAGACCGCGCAATCTCTGAACTTCCCGGCTGTTACAGTGTGCAACGAAAACCCACTCAGAAAGCCAGTGGCTCTTTTTCTTTTTACCTTTAAATAAATTTGATCAAATTCAATTTCATCGACTGTTAGGTTTAAAAGAAGGTGGGACAGAATGGTTGTTCTTTTTTCTTCCTTCTTGAGTAAATTTTGAATGCCATGCGTAACGGCGTCAGTTTTTGTGAATGAATATTGTCACCAAGAAGCATATCTAGTACAAGTTTGAAAGTGGGGCAAATTAATTTAATTGAAAAAGAAATTTTCAGGAATGCTAACACACAAAATTTTGAAAATAAAAGCTGCCTGAAAAGCTTGCTTGTGCAATAATCTGCTTCTCCCCTTTTTCTACGTTCTCCAGTGGGTTATGTTAGAAAGATATAGGCTAGGATCACCAGGGGCTAGTTGGCGCTTATTTTCGGCATCAACTTTGACCAACTCGATATAATAGTCCTAAGGTGGTCATTGACGGTCAATTTTTTTACATTACAATCTACAATCTACACATTACTTCGGCAAAGAAGATTGTAAAACTTCTGGAAAATTTTTTGGCCTTCCCGTTCGCGTAAATCCGAGATGCAACATGAGCTTAATCATTTTGTGGTCATGTTTTGATCAATAATAAATTCTTTGGAAGCTAAGCTCTAAGGTACAAGTAATAGAAAAAGAGCAAATTCAGGTCTTTGCTTGGGCGAATCAAACAGTTCGAGGACTTGGTGCTCCTGGACGACTACTCAATGGGCTACGTGATGGCGGTGGCTGAGAACGGAAACAGTGCCCTTAATTTCGACTGTGGGGAGGGGTGGGTTGTGTGCAACATGACACAGGTGTGCATTCCCAATCAGTGGATCTGTAATGGGATCAACAATTGTGGGGATAATAGTGACGAGGAGCCTCCTTACAACTGCACACTTATTCAAGGTTCATATTTTCACTGTGGGAATTTTTGCCATCACACAATTCGTTTCTAATATCCTAAATGTCAAAAATAATTAGAAAAAATATGATAGCACTGAAGTCAAAAATATCATTATCTGCGCATATTTTGGCGCCTTTTCATTGCGGCTCTCGCAAATGTTTTCACAAAAACCGCTTTAACGAATAAACAGATAACGGTAATTATGATTATCAGCATACTTTTTCTAGTAGTTTTGATATTTTAGATATTAGAAACGATTTGTGTGATAAGCCCAAAACTAAATTGAATGCATTTTCAAAATTGAATTGTCGAAGATGTTTTTGCATTGTCGCTGTTTAAGAAAGTCGGGCGAACAATTTAACCAGCTTGCAAGGAGACTACTGCATTTGGCCCTATGTCAAGTGCCCCGGTGAAGATTTCTGTGCTGTTGCTTGTGATGGAAACCAGGAGTGTACCCTCGAAAACTTCGATGAAAGCGCCGACGCTGGTTGTACTGGCACGGCTTGTCGAGCTGTCCTCACAGCAACTTCAGCCGAACAAGAGTTCACTTCGCCCAACTACCCGAACACTTACTCCTCGGATACTAAATGCGAATGGGTCATTAATGCACCTACGGGTCAAAATATCCAACTGACCTTCAAGTTCATCGCTATTGAAGGTAATGGAGGTGACTGTCGGCAAGATTTTCTGAGAGTTCACAACGGGATCAACACCAGTGCTTCGGTGATCAAAATCGCAGGAAACAACCGTCTCTGCGGCTACGCGATTCCTAGTCCCGCTTCAATAACATCTACAAAGTCCACAGTTACTGTATACCTGGAAACGGACTCTAATTACAACGAGGAAGGGTTTGCGATCGCTTACAAAGCAGTCGCCGCTAGTCGACAAAGACGCGAAAGTTCAGATGTTGCACACTTCGCCGACGATTTCGAACCATTTGAAGCCGAAAAACTATTGCAGCCTTTTAAACAAACGCAGCAAATAAGACGACGACGATCGTCCAACGCTACGGGTACGGCAGCCTATTCGGATTACCAGAACGACTACTACAGTTCTTTGAGAACAGGAGCAGACTACGATGCGTATTACAATAGCTTCAACCCGACAGACCAGTATTTCAACGTTTCCGACTATTTCAGTCTCTACGAGAAATCGGATCTTCCCGACTATTCGGACTTCCGACTGGCTGCCACTTTTACGCAATCCGAAATGAAGTACAATGGCTACCAAAAGAGTGATTTTATTGTACAGTGTACATTTGACAGCAAAAAATGTAACTCAAATTGGTTCAAAACTTTTCAAAATCCCTACTATGGAAACTGCTTTAGTTTCAATTCGATTATCGACCGAAACATTTCGGAGCCAATATTTATTCGCAGCTCCAGCAAAACAGGTCAAGAGTTTGGACTCAAGCTGACATTATTTCTTGACGTCGAAGACTACATTGGAATATTGGGTCAAAACGCAGGAGCACGAGCAATGGTTTATGACCCCGAGGTGAGAGCGAACGTCAGGAGCCAGAGTTTTGCTGTGGGCGCAGGTCTGGACACTTTTATATCAATGAGAATGCACCAAGTTGAGCGAGAGGGCGGTAGATACGGCAACTGTACTTCAAGTTGGCCCCGATGGTTGGAACTCAATTCCGATTTTAAACAGAAATGGCCTAAATATGACCGCGAAACTTGTTTGTTTTTCTGCGTTGAAAATGCTATGGCTTCCAGATGCCAGTGCATCGACAGTTACGAAACAAACTATAGTATCAATTCTGGAATCAACAACGCGTCTAATTATTATTGCGACCCAACGGATAAAGTCCAAAGCGAATGTCGTCAGAATATTTATCGAGATTTCAAAAGTAACAACCTGAGTTGCTCAAGGTGTCCACAAGGATGTAAAACCACTTCATTTTCACAGCAGCAATCTATGTCGCCTTGGCCGACTGAAAACTTCTCGCCATTTTTTGTTTCAAAAATGCTCAAATCGAACTCAGAACGAGTCGTGAGTTATGTGGAAGACGTGGTAAGTAATGCAAACATATCTCAATCAACGTTATCTGCTAGTATTCGGAGAAACTTCGCTCGTTTGGAAGTGTATTACGAAACACTCAATTTCGAAAAGATGTCAGAAAGTCCAGGTTATGAGATAGTGGATCTGCTGAGTGACTTTGGCGGAAATATTGGACTTTGGATAGGCTGGAGTGTTTTGGCACTCTTTGAAATACTCCAGTTTGTATACGAAGTTGGAGAAATCATCTACTTAAAAAAGTTGAAAAGGGACTGATCAAAACACTCATCATTCATTGCAGAAAAAAATCGAATGTTTTGAATGTTTTGTACGCTTTGTAACTTTGAATGTTTTGTAGTTTAAAAGTCACATTGCTTTTCCAACAAGCCTTTTGAATTGCTTATTGATTATCATTAATCGTCTTTTCTGTTTAAATGTTTTCTACCACATCTAAAGGGAACAGTAAAACTGTTTTACACATTCAGATTTAGATGCGCCTGTCAAAATGCTCTAGCAGTAATATTGAATGGTTAATGTTATGTACCTAATTATCATGTAATGTTTTTTTGCCAAGATCACCAAAAACCGCATTAATTTGCAGCTGTTTTATTCAACCTGCTAGTTCCTACAGATTTGGCTTAGCTGAAAAAAAAAGAGAAAGGTTCAGAACAAGAATTGAGTTTACAGATCAACTTCCCTGATAACGAAGAGAGGCAAAAGATCAACTGTGGGTCTGGATTTACAGGGGCAAGTTGGAACCTTAGCTACACAAATACACCTCAAGGAAGCTGTCAAAGCTCAACGGAATAGTGCGAGCAGTCAGATCGCAGAAAAAAAATTATCCATTAAATTCAAATAGCGGTCCCACAGAAGATAAGGCTGGTCAAAAAGCGTCGTCGCAAGCGCAATGATTAGGTATTCATTGTGTACCACCCAGAAAAAAAGGGGAAAAATCCCAGAATCCCAATACACATTCCAGATGAAGTACAAATTGAGATCAAGAAACTGATAGGTGATGGAAATGTCGAATAAATAAGCAAGTGGACTCAAGGGACTGCTTAAGTGCACCGATTACGACAAAAAAGAAATATTGCTTTTCCAACAAGCCTTTTGACTTGCTTATTGATTATCGTTAATCATCTCTCTTGTTTAAATGTTTTCTATCACGTCAAAGCAAAGGGAACAATAATACTGTTTTACAAATTCAGATGTAGATGCGCCTGTCAAAATGCTCTAGCAGTAATATTGAATGGTTAATACTGTGTAACTAATTATTACGTAATGTTTTTTTGCCAAGATCACCAAAAACGCATTAATTTGCAGCTGTTTTGTTCAACCTGCTAGTTTCTACAGGTTTGACTAAGCTGAAAAAAAAAGAAAGGTTAGGAACAAGAATTGATTTTACGGATCTACTTCTCTGATAACGGAGACAGGCAACTGATCCACTGTGGGTCTAGATTTACAGGGGAAAGTTGGAACCTTAATTACACAAATACACCTCAAGGCAGCTGTCAAAGCTCAATGGAGTAGTGAGAGCAGTCAGATCGCAGAAAAAAATTATCCATGAAATTCAAATAGCGGTCCCACAGAAAACAAGCTGGTCAAAAAGCCATGTCATAAGCGCAATGATTAGGTATCCATTGTGTACCACCCAGAAAAAAGGGGGGGAAATCCCAGAAACCCAATACACATTCCAGATGAAGTACAAACGGAGATCAAGAAACTGATAGGTGATGGAAGTGCGAATAAATAAATTAGTGGACACAAGGGACTGCCTAAGTGCACCGATTACGACAAAAAAGAAATAAATTGACTCAAAAAAAATTACCTGAGAGGCCAAACCTAAAAATCAACAGTTTTATAAAAACAATCACAAAATGTCTAACATAATGGAAATAATAGATGGAGTGAGCCAAATTATCACTGTAATTTCAAACTAGCTGCAGATACAGCTAAACATTGCAATTTCAAAATCAGAGGAGGTAATGCAACCAACAGGCACCCATAGGTTCTAAAGGAGATTTTATGGTAATGCAGACTTGCCGGCCGAGTTTGAAATAAAAAAGCATAGAAAACAAAATCACTCGGAAACAAGGATAGCCTGTTACTGAGCAAGTAGCACAGAATATTCCGACCAGTCTTAAAAGAAAAAACAGAAATTTTTTTCAATTTTTTGTCGTTTTTTTCTGCATGTTGTGATAAAAAAAATCTGGGCGAAAAAATAGAATTTAGGCATATTTGAGATTCTTAAAAACTAGCTCTATTGGAAAACCGTCTTGAAGAAAAATAATCAGGAAAACGAAAAAAAAACCTGTAAAAATCTGGAAAAAAATCGAAATTTTTTCAAATTTTTGTTCAGAAATTTTTTGAATTTTCAAGTTTTCGAGTCCAAAAACTGCACCAAAAAACATCAAAAACTACCTTAACAGGAGTAAAACTCAGTTTTCAACTCTAAATTTGAGCTTAAATAAGCGAATGTAAGCGTACCAGGTCACCTTATTAGCTCAAAAATAGACCAAAAATCAAAAATTTGAAGCCGATTTTTCTCGACACAACCGGTTTTTATTGACACAGCCAGTTTTTTTAATCGGTTTTTCAAAATTGCTTAATATATTTCGAATCACGACTAAAAAAGCTTTAATATGATATATCACTCAAACCAATCCGAGCTTTTTTTGTGGTAATTGATTTTGCGTGGAAAATAAAAAGCAAAAAAAACTAAAACACACCCGAATACAAAGTTCCGATTTGAGGTACTTGGTTTTGTGTGAAAAAAAAGCAAAATAAAAAAAGCAAAATAAAAAAAGCAAAAGAAAACAAAATTACACCCGAATAGAAAATTTCTCCGTATTTACAATATTCAAATCAATTACCGTTTGTTTTCCAGATCTCGTTAAGTTTGTTGTGTGAAATAAAAAACGAAAGTATACCTGAAGGATTAAGAAAAAGAGCTTGTATTAAAAAAGAGACAATTGAAAAGGAAGCCCACTAGAAAAAATCTAACAACTTTTTTTATTTTGAGATGCATAAATCATTTGAAACTGAACGAAGCAAATGTAACCGACAAATTGAGACCACGACTCAAAGAAGTGAAAAAAGCTTTTTTGTCAATTAATTGAAATAGGCGAAAAAAACTGCAGGAGCAAGTATTTCACAATTTGACTATAATAATTTGAAAGAAAAATACAGGAGTCAAATGGGACTCTAGTCATACCGCGCTCGTAGCTAGGCTGGGGTAGTGGAAGACAAGCAATTTCACTCCTGGCTAGCTGTCTCTACTAACTTTCTCAAAACTTCTTCGAATTGCGAGTGGGTCTTCTTGTGTGTCGTCTGTTTCCAGGTTGGGGTCACTTCTCAAAACCCTGCCCTTGCCTGCTCATTTCTTGCGTTGTCAAGAACTCTACAAAAGGGTTTTTTGATGAACATACCTCTTTAGAATCCACAAGGTTACTCAGTCGCTCAGCTCGTTCTCTCTACTTTCTGTTTAAACGTTTTGTTTTCTCCTACTGCTTCTTTTTAGTCTTCATCAAAGAGTCTCTTCCACGTGTCTCGTGTCTCTTTATTTTTGCGTCCTAAAGTGCTCCTTTTTGACTATTTCCAATCCATCTCTTTTCTCCATGATGTCTCTCATGTCATGTTGATCTACATTTCTTTTTCTTCTACTCTAGTCCTCTTTGCTGGCAACAAGTCTCGTTTGGGAGTTTGGGAAATAGATGAAGTGGCTCCGCTGATCGATAAATAAATTATCCTCTTTAGACCAGGCCGAAGTCTGTTAGGAAGAGATATTTTCTTTTCCCGGGCTGGCTGGTAAAAATCGGTTGTTCTTCAAACCGGGCTCGTTCGCCAAGGCACTGCCCGACAGTGCACCGTTTCTCGTTATCACCAGCTTCTTTGGGTGCTCATGAACATTTTTAGTTTCACGAGCGGCTATTACAATGACTTCCGTGGGCTTGTCTACACTGTTGTCATGTGTCAGGATGTTAGTCAAGACCACAATCAACATGGTCAGTTCTGGGTCGTGCAGAGCAAAACCAGTTTCAGTGAGCCGGCAATAAACTACATCTAGCACCGGCTGTTCATGAAACTCTGCCAAGTCCATTTGATCATTAGCATCAAAATTGTTCATTTTTTCATAACTACTCTGGAGAATAATTGTTGGGAACGATGATTGTATAGATCATTGTGCTTGAAGATTGTATTCAAAAATTTGAATTTAAGAAGTAATGCAAATAATCAATTTTAAAAGATTTGTTGTGTAAAATTGTTAAATATTTTTTTAGTCTATCCAGAGTCTTGAAAATTGAACTAAAGGCAGACAGTTCTTTTTTTGGTTCTTCTAAGTGCTCTTTCCTGGTCTTGCCCTCCATAGAAACTCTATATTTTCTTACTCTCTCCTAAAATGGCTTCAAAGGCGTCTTGATTATCATATCCGCAGTAATTGCTATTATACATGTCCTCTCTGTCAGTATGAAGTCGCTAGTGTTCGGAGAATTTTCACTCGTTTAAAAGTGTATCACGAAACCCTGAATTTGAAACAGTGAAACTCGGAAAGATGTCCGAAAGTCTAAGATTTGAGATACTGGATCTACTTCGAGATTTTTGCGTGAACCAAAGGTCATGTTTTGCAGCTGTATTTTTCAGTCTGCGATTTCCTACAGCTTTGGCTTAATTGAAAAACAAAAGTAATCAGAACAAAAATTGAACTTATTTCTAATTAATGACGTTTTTTGTTTTATAGAGTTCCTCAAGTTATCACATGGCGTAGCCAGCAACATTCATCCTTAAGGTAGGACAATCTATTGACATGGGGATACCGTCACTCTGGGCGGCGGCAAGTTCCATTTCCAATGACAATTAAAATTCTGTTTCGAACTTTTTTTGATTGTGGTAACGGTATAAGAGAAGGTTGAACCGGATTAACATTAGAGGATCCGAAAAAAAACGTTAGAAGAAAAACTACCGACAACCAAATCTCCACGAACTGGAGAAAATGCAGCTGCGATAGCAGCTAAGGAATTAAAAAACAAACCCGTCCCGGACAAGATCATGCACTTGAACCTGCTTGTGTAGGTTTCAGCTGAATCAGGCGCTGGCTCTGATCTCAAGGCGACAACAACTCTTCTTCTCAACAGATACACTTTTTCTTTTTTTTTGCTATATGATTGGTTATCTTTCGATTTTTTGTTCAATCTTTTTAACGACTGATAGGATCTTTGGCGTCAGTAAACTGCGTCGGCTAATGACCGTCACCTCGTTTTTTTGTCGTTTTTTTTATCATTGCCTGAGATCGGCGGAGCTTTAGGTTAAAGCAACTGATCAATTAGTTCAAGTTCATGCTTTTCTAGCATTCTCGGTTCTCGCCGAATTCCTGGTGCGATGATCATGTCGCTTCGTTTCTCCCAGTCTGATGAACAATGACATCCTTTTTCTGAACT